TCCTTCCTCCTCCCCCCTTCTCCTCCCCCCTCCCCCTCTCCCTCTCCCCCCTCCCTTTCCTATTCCCTCCTCTCCCCTGCCTGCCCCCTGCCCTTCCTAATCCCTCTCACTCCCTCCTCTTTCCTTCGTGCCCTGCCCCTTTCCCTCCCCCAGCCCTGCCCCAGCCCTCTCCCCTTCCCACACCTCCCTCTCCTCCAGCGCCCTCTGCCCTCCTCCCCTTCTTTCTTCTCCTCCTCCCACGTCCCCTTCCCTGCTCCCTCCACCCTCTCCCCTCCTCCGACCTCTCTTCTGCTCCCTCATTCTCCTTCCGCCCCCTTCCCTTCTCCCCCCACCCCCTCCCCTCCTGCGGCTCCTTGGCAGTTCGGGCACTCACTGAACGCTGAATGCTGGCCCCAGAGAAGGTGCTCACAGGCCAGTCCTGCCTCTGGGCTCCCCCAAACCCTGTGGGCGGCGCGCGGGACCCTTTCCCTGGGGAGGGCCCAGCGCACTTCGTCCCTCTAGATGTTCCAGAAGGAGAAGGCGGTGCTGGACGAGCTGGGCCGACGCACTGGGACCCGGCTGCAGCCCTTGACCAGGGGCCTCTTCTGAGGGAGCTGCCGGCTGCGTTCCTCCCGAGAGCAGGAGCGGGTGGGAGGCGGAGGCGCAGGCAGCCGGGTTCGCCGCTGCGCCCCAGCCCGGCAGCTCACAAATAAACAACGAATGAAAGTACTGGGGGAACCTCCTCTTTATTTCATGGCACAACGGGTATTTTTCATTATTGTCAATAAAACAGTTCCGAGCTGTAGCACCGGGAGGGTGCCTGGGAGTACCGTGCAGCGCTCGCCTCCTGCCCTTCCCGGGTGCCCCTGCCTGGAGCTGCGCCCTTCCCTGGAACCTGCGCCCTTGGGGGGGGGGTGGGCCTTCCTGTTGGCCCCTGCCTGCAGCCTGCGTCCCATTGAGGAAGGGGCTGATGGGGCTCGGGTGCCGCAGCCCGTCCTTCTGTAGGAAAGGCTTGCAACAGTATTTCCTGCTTTACTTCCTGAGTATTGGAACAGTGGAGTCAACTCTGAAGTTTCCGCACCAGCGCACGACTCTTCAACCGGGAGGGCGCTGGTTTCCCGGGGCCTCCTGACGCCGCCTCCTGGCCGCGACACCGCTGTGGTCAGGGCCAAGGCCCTGGGGCCCTATGTTGTGGGACCGCCTCTCAGAGACCCTCGTGAGCCCTAAAACTGGGGCTACTGCAATTATGATCATGTTTGTCCCATGAAATGATGTATGGACATGAAAATGCCTCCCCACTGGACTTGACCCCTCGAAGACACAGGCCAGGCGCCTCTGTTCCTGAAGTCGCTGCACCCTTCGACGGAGAGGTTCTGTTTACTGTGGAACCATAGCTTAATGTCAAAAAAGTACTCCTGAAAATAGGAAACGGAGTCAGCTTTAACTCAAGCTTCTCACAAGAACACAGTCGAGAATCACTTTCAAGAGCCCTTAAGAGACTGAGGGGCCTGGAGAGCTGCCAACTGTGGGTGGGATTTTGAGGGTTCCTACAGTTTGCTGTTAGAACGGAGCCCTGGGAGCCTCTGTTCACATCCTGGGGCACTCAGGGCTTCTCAGGAATTCCTGGGCGCTCAGGGCGTGGGGGGTCTGGCTTTACTGGGTTGTCGCTGGGCCACTGGTGCCTCCAGCAGCCCACAGCCAGTGACCGTGGGGCCCAGGCCCAGCCTGGGTGGTCCCACTTCTCTCTTGGGCGGGGTCTCTGATGTGCACTGGGGCTGCCCTGTGTCCCCATCATCAGTGAGTCTATCTCTTCTTTTTTTTTTTTTTTTGGACTGAGGGTAGCTCTGTGGCTTAGGCCGGAGTGCAGTGGTGTGATCTTGGCTCACTGCAGCCTCTGCCTCCTGGGTTCAAGCAATTCTCCTGCCTCAGCCTCCTGAATAGCTGGGATAACAGGTGTGAGCCAGCACACCCAATGTCATTTTTTTTTTTTTTTTTGTATTTTTAGTAGAGACAGGTTTCACTATGTTGACTGGGATGGTCTCAAAACTCCTGACCTCATGATCCACCTGCCTCAGCCTCCCAAAGTGCTGGGATTCCAGGTCTGAGCCACCGCGCCCAGCCTACCTCTTCATCTTTATCCCCTCTGCTGTAAGGGACTGCTTGTGTTTTCTGCCTTTTTTATTTTTATTTTTTTATTTGGAGGTATTATCAGTTGGAGGTATTTATATGTATTATTGAACACAACCCTGTTTTTTTTGTTTTTGTTTTTTGAGATAGAATCTCCCTCTGTCACCCAGGCTGGAGTGCAGTGGTAGGATCTTGGCTCACTGTAACCTCTGTCTCCCAGGTTCAAGCCATTCTCCTGCCTCAGCCTCCTGAGCAGCTGGGACTACAGGTATACACCACCATACCCTGCTAATTTTTGTGTTTTTGTAGACACAGGGCTTCACTTTGTTTACCAGGCTGGGCTTGAACTGCTGACCTCAAGTAATCTGCCCACCTCAGGCTCCCAAAGTGCTGGGATTACAGGCATGAGCCACCGCACCCAGTGCAATCCTGTATTTCTTTTTTTTAGACTGATTCTCCTGCCTCAGCCTCCCAAGTAGCTGGGAGTACAGGTGTGTGCTGCCACACCCTGCTAAGTTTTGTATTTTTAGTAGAGACAGGGTTTCACCATGTTGGCGAGGCTTGTTTCAAACTCCTGACCTCAGGTGATCCACCGGTCTCAGCCTCTCATAGTGCTGGGATTATAGGAGTGAGCCACCGTGCTCAGCAACTCTGTATTTCCTTAGGAAGTGTGAGCAAGTGCGCTCTGACCTGAATCTGAGGAAGGGCCGCCTATGGCCCCAGCAGCAGTGGCAGCATCGCCTGCTGCCTGTGCAGTGGCAGTCTCCTGCTGTAGGGACCTGGTAGTTAGGAGGGGGGTTCACAGGTCACTGTTGCCGAGCCTGCCCTCAGCCACACTGCCCTGATTCTGGAGCAGGTCCCTCCTCATCCTTCTGCTCCCGAAGTCACCCGGCCCTTCACCTTCTGTATGTTTCAAATTCAGCTCCTCCTGGACTCTTGGTTGGAGTTGCATTAAATCTGTAGATCCGCTGACCTCACGGAGGCTGTGACCTGTGCATATATGATGCCTTAGTCCCTGGGTTTTCACCTCTCAATGATTGTCACCAATCTTACCAGTTGTACAGGTGTGCACAATGTGCCCTGAGCCCCCACCTCCCAAACCCCCTGCTCTCCTGACCACAGGCAAGGAGGTGGGGCCATGAAAAGCCCCACTCCTATCAGCTTCCAGGCACCCAGACCCCAAAACCCCTGCCAGGCAGCCCAAGCCCACTTTCCGGGCCTGCTCTGAGCTCCTCGGCCTCCCCAGGGAGACCAAGGGGGACTGTGTATGGGGGTGAGATCATCCCCTGCCCCACCCCCAGGCATCACCCCACCACCCCTGAAGGCCAGTCAAGGCTCAGCCAGCCCAGCTGTGCCCTAACTGGACACTGCTGGATGCCAGGGCCCTTCATCCCTACGAACCCAGCAAGACCAGGCCACCCAAAGACCACCACTTCCTGCGAGGTTTCTTCCCTCTGTTGTATGAAAAATTCTGTTGAGAAATATTTAATAGAAGGAAATCAAAATGCCATGCTAGAAAAAATCACCATGAACATAGGAAATGGAGTCAGAACTTTGACTTGAGCTTTTAACGAGAGCACAGAATCTCTAGAATCACATTCAAGAGCCGCAAAAAGATGGTTCTGCGAAGTGTTACAACCAGCAGCTGCACTGGCCTGTTTGGTGCTCACACCTGTCCCTCCATGTGGACTCCATGTGGCTCACCCCGAGGAGTCCTGAGGCCAGGTCAGCCAGAGTGGAAGCTCCTGCAGCTCAGTGGCAACTCTCTGGTCATCTGGTCTCGGACCTGCAAGCTTCCCAGGATGCAAACACTGGGACAGGGTCCCTCCTCCTGCGGAGCTTCAGGAATGAAGGAATGTGTCCTAATAGGAGGTGAATGAAAATTTATGCATAATACCTAAAAATATTTAAGTAACATTAAAACACCAAGGAAACATAATTCCACAAAAAAAGTAAAGTAACAACAGTTAAAGGAATAGTCAAGGTAGCCTATCCACATGGTAAGAAACCCTGACAGCACAGAAAGAACTGAACTGGGGAGAGTGAGCTGCCCTTGGCGCACCCAGTGCCCACCTTTGCTTCCCGGGCACAGAAGGAAACTGGTGAGAGTGAGCCAATGTTCCCCCATCCAGTGCCCACCTTTGCTTCCCGGGCACAGAAGGAAACTGGGGAGAGTGGGCCGAGGTTCCCCCACCCCGCGCCCACCTTTGCTTCCCGGGCACAGAAGGAAAGTGGCGAGAGTGAGCCGCTCTTCCCCCACCCCACGCCCACCTTTGCTTCCCGGGCACAGAAGGAAACTGGGGAGAGTGAGCCACCCTTCCCCCACCCTACGCCCACCTTTGATCTCCAGGAATGAGAGCTGTGCAAACCAGCATGCAGCAGTGTCTGCGTTTGCAGCATTGGCACTGTCCCTTTTGTTTCGTTTTAACTCAAAAGGGACCACATCATGCACAGCTGGCTTCTTTGACTTTTTTATTTTTTGAGACAGGATCTTGCTCTGTGGTCCAGACTATAGTGCAGTGCCTCCATCACAGCTCACCGCAGCTGCTAACTCCTGGGCTCAAGCAATCCTCCTGCCTCAGCCTCCAGAGCTGCTGAGATCACAGGCGCATTTCACCACACCTGGTTAGTTTTTTAAATTTATTTTTTGTAGAGACAGGGTCTTACTATGTGACCCAGCCTGGTCTCAAATTCCTGAGCTCAAGTGATCCTCCTGCCTCAGCCTCCTAAAGTGCTGGGATTACAGGCGTGAGCCACGCACCCCCACTTCTTTGGTGGTGTCTGTTCCACACCTGCGGCAAACAGGCCCCAGTTATTAAGTTTGACTTTGTGGTATTTTTCCCATCAGGATGTTCAGACTTCCATGTGGCTAAAGGTATTGGTTGATCTTTTCTATTCTGGTTCCTGAGCTGAAGCTTTCTTAAACTCTTTCTGGATGGAATCTTTATTTCAGGATCCTCATCTGGTGGCGTCCACAGCCTGGACTTTACCTCTGTGATGGAAGAGGGGGACCTGAGGCTCCAGGTGGGCCGGTGATGCCCTACAGGAAAGGAGGGATCCCCGGGAGGGGCTGCTGCCCTGGGCAGGTTCACAAGCCCCTCACCGCAGGGGTCCCAGAGCAAGGGATGCCATGAGCCGAGCCGCCAGGCCGAAGCTGCCTGCCGTGCACCACCACCACCACTCCCCTCACCTGCCGCCGGGCAGGGAAGGACCCTGCCCCTTTCCATGGTCCTGGCACAGCCCACAGCCCCGAGGAAGCCTAGGGGTGGAAGGTGCCTGGCCAGGGTTCCTGTGACTCACGCTTAGGGTGGGCCGGGCATCCACGGGCTGGGCGTGGTCTGGAGGACAGTGGCAGCCCCCGGCGGCCACGCGGTATGGTGGTGGTGGTGGTGGTGGTGGTGCACGGCAGGCAGCTTCCGCCTGGCAGCTCGTGGGACCCCCGGGGCCACATGTGGCGGGTCCTGACACAGATGCACCTGTGGCTTAGGACTTAGCCCAGGCTGCTCCCATCCCCACTCCCACCCTGTTCCTAACTGGGGCCGGGTCCCCTGTGATAGGCAGGATGGCGGGAGTCTAAGCATCCTCCCAGAGGAGGCCCCTCCCCATACCCAAATTGTGCAACCCATTCCTCATCGGGGCTGGGATTCATGGGGATGGGGGCTTCACGGCCAGACTGCAGACCTGAGCCAGGAATGCTCTTTCAGAGCTACACAGATGCAGACATTTCCAGAGTAAAACCCCCCAGGCCCTCTGTTTCCTTGGCTTTGGGGTCTGCTCGGGGCTCACCCTACCTGCAGGGCTGGAGGCAGGGCCTTGAGCATCCAGTTCTGCAGGACCAGCTGGTGCACCTGTGCATTCTGCAGCAGCAGCAGCTCCACCATGTCTGCAGGGGAGACCCGGGGGCCCTGAAGAAAGCTTCCATTCCTCATATTTGTTAAGGTGACAGTGCATTACAAGACCAGAGAACACATGTCTGTGCACTGTGCAGGTCCCCGGGGCACGCTCCAAATTGTGGAACTTCAAGGTCAGAGAGTGTAGATGTGGAAAGTTGTGTGATGGGCCCCATGGCACCCTAGGAGGCTACTCTCATCTGCCTTCCTGTCTCCTCCCCCAGGCTGCGTGGGGACCCCAGAAAGGCACACCCATGTCACAGTCTCCCCGCACCTCAGGGTGTGACCTTATTTGGAAAAACAGTCTTTGCAGATGTCATTAAGGATCATGAGATGGGCCAGGTGCAGCGGCTCCCGCCTGTAATCTCAGCACATTGGGAGGTCAAGGTGGGCAGATCACCTGATGTCAGCAGTTCGAGACCAGCCTGGCCAACATGGTGAAACCCCGTCTCTACTAAAAATATAAAAATTAGCCGGGCATAGTGGGAGATGCCTGTAATCCCAGCTACTCGAGAGGCTGAGACAGAAGAATTGCTTGGACTCAGAGAGCAGAGGTTGCAGTGAACCGAGAATGCACCTCTGCACTCTGTCTGAGTGACAACAGTGAAACTCATCTCAAAAAAAAAATTTGCAGGCCGGGCGCGGTGGCTCAAGCCTGTAATCCCGGCACTTTGGGAGGCCGAGGCGGGTGGATCACAAGGTCAAGAGATCGAGACCATCCTGGTCAACATAGTGAAACCCCGTCTCTACTAAAAATACAAAAAATTAGCTGGGCATGGTGGTGCATGCCTGTAATCCCAGCTACTCAGGAGGCTGAGGCAGGAGAATTGCCTGAACCCAGGAGGCGGAGGTTGCGGTGAGCCGAGATCGCGCCATTGCACTCCAGCCTAGGTAACATGAGTGAAACTCCGTCTCAAAAAAAAAAAAAAAAAAAAAAAAATTTGCCAGGCGAGGTGGTGGGCACCTGTAATCCCAGCTACTTGGGAGGCCGAGGCAGGAGAATTGCTTGAACCCAAGCGGCGAAGGTTGCAATGAGCCAAGATGGCGCCTGTGTACTCCAGCCTGGGCAACAGAGGGAGACTCTGTCTCAAAAGAAAAGAGAAAAGGCAGGTGCAGTGGCTCAGACCCATAATCTCAGTACTTTGGGAGGCCCAGAAAGATTTCATTTTTTTACAGTCAAACAGTTGATCCAGTTGGAATTTGTTTTGGGATAAGGAATGGGGTAAGAAATTTAACTCTACTTTTTCTAAATAGCTAGCTACTTATTGAATATTTAATTTAGTTTTTTGTTTTTTGTTTTTTTTGAGATGGAGTCTTGCTCTGTCACCCAGGCTTGAGTGCAGTGGTGCTATCTTGGCTCACTGCAACCTCCACCTCCTGGGTTCAAGTGATTCTCCTGCCTCAGCCTCCCAAGTAGCTGGGATTACAGGTGTGTAACACTGCATCCAGCCTTTTACCACTGATTTTATATACTTAAATATTTTTTTGTTTCTTTTTTGGAGAGATTGCATCTTGCGATGTTGCCCAGGCTGGTCTCAAGCTCCTATGCTTAACCGATCCTCCTGCTTCAGCCTCCCAAAGCCACTGGGCCAACCATTACTACTGATTTTAAATGCTGCCTTTTCTCTCATATGGCATACCATCATAGGCTGACCCAAGCACGCGCGCGCGCGCGCGCACACACACACACACACACACACACACACACAGAGCTACCTCAGTGTGCGTCTTAGAACCTGACAGACTATCTCATCTGGAAAAATCAACAGCTAATAAGGAGAGACAGGACTACTACCCCTTGTGATAGCACAAGCTATGCTCTCTGCCACTCCAGGGACTCCTCAGACAGATCACAATAGGAATGGTATCCCCTTAGGAAGTCAGGATGGCCGAGCGGTCTAAGGCGCTGTGTTCAGGAACGGTATCCCCTGGATGTGGCTGTCCTGGGCCAGGCCTGGCTTGGATTGCAACATATGATAGAGCTACAGTAATTAACCAGGTCAGCACAGTGGCTGGGATAGGCAGGTCACTGGGACAGAATTGAGGACACCTGTCAGGTGATTCAGCCATTCTACACACAGATCTGCCCCTAGACTCCCAATTCATTGAGCAATGCAAATAAAAGCCGCAGTCAACCACCACTGCATCCTGTTAAAATGGACACAATGAGAAACACTGACCATACCACATGTCGCCAAGGTTGTGGATAAGGAAAACTGGCAAACACTGCGAGTGAGAATGTAAAATGCTACAGACACTAGGAAGCAGTTTGGCAGTTTCTTTTTTTCTTTTCTTTTGAGGCAGTCTCACTCTGTTGCCCAGGCTGGAGTGCAATGGCGCGATCTCGGCTCACCACAACCTCTGCCTCTGGGGTTCAAGCGATTCTCCTGCCTCAGCCTCCCGAGTAGCTGGGGTTATAGGCATGTGCCACCATGCCTGGCTAATTTTTGTATTTTTAGTAGAGACGGGGTTTCTCCATGTTGGCTAGGCTAGTCTCGAACTCCTCACCTCAAGCGATCCACCCACCTCAGCCTCCCAAAATGCTGGGATTACAGGCATGAGCCACTGCGCTTGGCCCTAAGCCATTTTAAAAGCAGCAGCTTAATTATGGTTTTTCAATGGATGTTAATTGGATGAGTTGGAATTGGAGCCCAGTTATTTCACCTCCTAGTCCAGTTATCGCTTTTGTACCACTTGTTTCCTTCCCTATGAGATATCATTTATATAAGGATCTTTTTTTTTTTTTTTTTAAAGATGGGGTTTCACCATGATGGCCAGGGTGGTCTTGAACTCCTGACCTCAGGTGATCCGCCCACCTCAGCCTCCCAAAGTGCTAGAATTACAGGCATGAGTCACCGTGCCCGGCATAAGGAATTCTTTTTTGTTTTGAGACAAAGTTTCACTCTTGTTACCCAGGCTGGAGTGCAATGGCGTGATCTCGGCTCACCGCAACCTCCGCCTCCTGGGTTCAGGCAATTCTTCTGCCTCAGCCTCCTGAGTAGCTGGGATTACAGGCACGCGCCACCATGCCCAGCTAATATTTTGTATTTTTAGTAGAGACGGAGTTTCACCATGTTGACCAGGATGGTATCGATCTCTTGACCTTGTGATCCACCCGCCTCGGCCTCCCAAAGTGCTGGGATTACAGGCTTGAGCCACCATGCCAGCCATAAGGATTTCTTAAAGTTAAAATTATGTTCATGTTGAGCAGCCAAAAGCTGATGCTAAGTGACTGTCCTGCTTCCAGAAATATTTTCCCTTTCAGTAGATAGTTTCATCAACCACAACAATATGAATATGGAACACTTACCTTCCTTAATACTTCCTGACCTTTGAGTAGGGAAGGCCTGGGGAGGAGGAATCTGTGCTATGAGCGGCTGCTGAGGTAGCTGCTGAATGATGGTGGCAGGTGGCTGGGGGACCTAGGAACAGCCAGGTGATTAGCTGCATGTGTCCTTGAAGAAAGTGTCTGCAGTATCTACTACCTATCAACCACCCACCCATCCAGCCAGCCAACCAGCCATCCACCCACCCATCATTCATGCAACCAACCATCCCCTCACCCATCAACCCATCCACCCACCCATCCATCCATTCATCCATCCAAGGAGAACTTTAAATGATTAACCCCAGACACTGAATAGGTAGTTGAATGGAAAGGTATTTCAATCTAGATATCACTCAGGACGTATTTTTAATGTTTCCCACATTTCCTGTCTTTAGCAGGGTGGGCTGAGGTCTGGTTCCACTAATTCTGCTTTAATAGGAGCATCCGACACTTGGTATGGTCAGTCATTTTAATCGTAGCCATTTTCATGGGGATGCAGGGGTGGCTCGCTGTGGCTCTTATTTGTATTTCCCTAATGGTGGGTGGTGTTGGGCATCTGCGGCCGACCTGTGTGTAAGATGGCCACATCCCAGCAGGTGTTCTCAATTGTGTCCCAGTGACCTCTCTGTCCCAGCCCCCATGACAACTTGGTTAATTACTGTACTCCATCATACACTGTAGAACATGTCATGAAAATAAACTTTGGTTTCTTTTCTGAGTAAAAATACAGCCATTTGCGCGTGAAAGGCCTTCTGTTTCATCTTCTAGCTGTGTGAGGCTGCGTGGCTACCCCTTGTTCCTCAGCTCACAGAAAGGACGGCAGAGACCAGGAGCTGGCAAACTTTTGTCAAGGGCTAGATGGTAAACGGCTTCCACTGAGGACACACTGTTAGCTACAGCTCTTGAGTTGGCCATTGCAATATGAAAGCAGCTACAATGTGGAAACAAATGGGCCTAGCCCAATAAAACTTTATTTATGAACACTAAAATCTGCATTTCTTTTTTTCTTGAGAGGGAGTCTTGCTCTGTCACCAGGCTGGAGTGCAGTGGCACAATCTCGGCTCACTGCAACCTCCTCCTCCTGGGTTCAAGCGATTCTCCTGCCTCAGCCTCCCAAGTAGCTGGGACCACAGGCGCGTGCCACCGCGCCCAGCTAAATTTTTATATTTTTAGTAGAGACGAGTTTCACTGTGTTGGCCAGGATGGTCTCGATCTCTTGACCTCGTGATCCGTCTGCCTTGGCCTCCCAAAGTGCTGGGATTACAGGCGTGGGCCACAGCGCCCGGCTATCTGCATTTCATATAATTTTGAAGTGTTGCAAAGTATTATTATTTCATTGGGTTTTCCCCCAAACATTTAGAAATGTAAAACCATGCTTGGCTGGCAGTTTGCGCGAGAACAGGAGGCAGGCCAGCTCTGGTCTAAAGCTGTGGTTTGCGTGGACCCATAAGGCTTTATTACAGCAGCCATGCCTGTCCTGGCTGACAGGACCTTCTACCACAGGGGCTCTGAGTCCAGCTGCCAGGAAGCTCATCTCAGTGAGGAGCCCCTGCTCACCTGCCTGGTGTCACTGGGGCTGCAAGCATAACTGCAGGCATAACTGGTCCTGATGAACACATGTTAAGTGTAGACGTATTTGGGATGAGGAAAATGGGGGGTCCAGGCCAATGACCCCCCCAAACTCCCTTCTGTCCCGGGAGGAGGTTCCTGGTGCTGGAAGACAGGAAGGCACAGGCTGGGAATACCCAGAACCCGGTGAAGGCCGCCCATCTGCAGAGGAAGGGTCTGGGGCAGGTCCCTCAGAGGCTGCCCTTCCCTCTGTTCCCTCCGCCACGTGCTGCTGCCGGGGGCCCTCCCAAAGGGCAAAAGCCTTCCAGGTCATAGACCCTGCTGACCCGCCCAGGAACTCCCACCTCAGCCTCTTCTCTACCACCCTCCCTGCACCCCAGTCACACAAATCCCACCGAAGCCTTGGCCTCTGGGCCCCCAGCTTCCATTTCACCTCTGGGTGCCTGGTTTCCCTCTGAGCCATGTCTTGCTTCAGAAAGTCAGAGCTGTTTTCTGCTGCTTGCAACCCAGAAGGCTGAAGAGCTATAGGATGCTCTCAGAAGTGGAGCACTATTTGCCTTGGACATTGTGCTCTTGTCACTGGGGCCTTAGGTGTCATCTGGTTGTGATAAAGTCTGGTTTTTTTTTTGGAGATGCAACCTCCTCTTCCCAGGTTCAAGTGATTCTCCTGCCTCAGCCTCCCAAGTAGCTGGGACTACAGGTGTGTGCCACCACCCCCAGCTAATTTTTGTATTTTTAGTAGAGACAGGGTTTCACTATGTTGGCCAGGCTGGTCTCAAACTCCTGACCTCGGGTGATCTGCCTGCCTGGGCCTCCCAAAGTGTTGGGATTACAGGCATGAGCCACCGCACTGGGCAAGTAATAAAGATTTGGGGAGGTGACACACTTCCCCAAATTCAGGGTCCTCTGGCTGCTGAGCTCTCCTGATACTTCTACTCCTAATGTGACATTTAGGGCCAGGGCCAGGGTTTGGGAGACAGAGCTGAGCCCCAGCCTCCCTCTGTGATGAGGGATAAGCATTCCAGGGAGGCCCGAGGAACAGTGCCCAGGCAGGGAAATGCAGCAGCTGCTGGCCCCTTCAAGGGTGGGCCGTGGGAGGATGGGCTGACAAGGCAGCCTCACTGCCAGCACAATGTCTCCCACCTTCTGTAAAATCTTTTTTTTTTTTGAGACAGAGTCTCCCACTGTCACCTGGGCTGGGCCTTGAGGGCTCATGCAATTCTTCTGCCTCAGCCTCCCGAGTAGCTGGGATTAGAGGCGTACACCACCACACCAGGCTAATTTTTTGTATTTTTAATAGAAACGGGTTTTACTATGTTGGCCAGACTGATCTCGAACTCCTGACCTCATAACCCGCCCGCCTTGGCCTCCCGAAGTGCTGGGATTACAGGCATGAGATACCGAGCCCAGCCTTCTGTAAATCTTAATTCAGCACCCACCTCCCACTCTCAGGTGTGCTCCTCGCCCTCTCACCGTAGGCAGGACGATCCTTGGCAGGTCTGGGGTCAGTGGAGGTGGGGAGGCAGCAGGTGGGACACCTGCGGGGGTCAGTTCTGGGGGCAGGGCTGACCCCAGGGCTCCTCTGCTTGCCGCACTCCAGGCCTGCACCCGAGATAGCTCGTTCAGGAGGTGCTGTTCCTGCAAAGCCAATGCAGAGCTGCTGCACACCGGAGAAGGGGAGCCCAAACACCACAGAGGCACCCCCAGCCTTAGGCTCAGCCCAGCCTGGGCCAGGTACAGGCCCCTCTCTGGGCAGGCTGGCAGTGGCTGGAAGACCCTTCAAGGGGTATACGCATGAGGGTAGCACTCCTAACATCGACCAAATCATGTCAGCTTGTCTCCAGTTGTTTTCTTTTCCAAGCCAACAGGGTCTGTTCTCTCTTTGAAGTCAGTTTCAGGCCAACTGGCTGCAAAGATCTCCCCGCTAGAAAAGTGGCCCCACCTCCTGGGCATCTCTGCCACTCAGAGGCATCTTTGGTGAGTGCCATGAGAGCAAACCTCCCGACATCCTAAAATTCCAGGTCCTCCTGGAACTGGGCCCCTACTTGACATTTCCAGCCCTGATGGAAACTTGCACTCAGGCGGGTCTCTAAGCTAACAGTGGCCTTACTGGGGCCTGGCCCTGAGAGTCCGGAAAGGTCTTCCCCTCACCCCCGACCTGTGCCATAAGGCTGAGCAGCTGTCTCTGCCACAGTGAGCTCTGCCACAGTGAGCTCAGCCAGCTTCGCTCATCGGGAGCAGGACTTACCTGGAGTCTCTGCAGAAGCTCACTCCTTCTCTTCAGAGCAGTCTGCAGGGCGTCATCTGGCCGGTCCTCGTTTCCTGGAGGGAAACACCTGCTTGCTCATAGAGGAACACGCAGAGGCTGTCACTGCAAGCACTCGGACAGCACTGCACCCGTGTGGAATGCCCCACCTCACCCACTCTCCTGGGATGGGGGCGGCCTGGGAGGCTCCTGGGCTCAGGTTATCCCAGAGAAAGAGGGACCCATGCTGGGTAAGGAGGGCAAGGGCAGCACCAGGGGAGGGGCAACCCAGGGAACTCAGTGTCGGAGTCTGGCCTATGGTTATCTCATTCCTGGAAGGGAGGCTGAAGTCACGCAGCCAGATTCCTCCTGAGTACCTTTTGTAGAGAGTCCCTGGGCTCCAGGAGGCCAAGGCTTTTACCGGGCTGCCTGCAGCCTCACCTTGGCCACCTGAAGGCGCCCTCTGGCCCCAAGCAGTCCAGACTCTAGTCTGACCCCCAAGTGTCTGCAAGTCCCTCTAATCTGCCTCTCAGTCTGGGTAAGGTGACTCCTGCCTGTGATCTCAACACTGGAAGGTTGAGCTGGGAGGAGTGATCTCAGGAGGTCGAGGGTGCAGTGAGTTATGATCATGCCACACCACACTCCAGCCTGGGCAGCAGACGAGACCAACCCTGTCTCAGGAAAAAAAAAAAGTCTGGCAGTGACTCACACCTGTAATCTCAGCACTTTGGGAGGCTGAGGTGAGTGGATCACTTCAGATCAGGAGTTTGAGTCCAGCCTGGCCAACATGGCAAAACCCTATCTCTACTAAAAATACAAAAGTTAGCTGGACATGGTGGTGCACACCTGTAATCCCAGCTACTCGGGAGGCTGAGGCAGGAAAATTGTTTGAACCTGAGAGGCAGAGGTTGCGGTGAGCTGAGATCACACCACTGTACTCCAGCCTGGGTGACCGAGCGTGTCTCCTTCTCAAAACAACAACAAAAAGAAGTCTATACTCCTTGGGGGGGGGGTCTGCACTCAAGAGAAGGCTCCGGAAGGTGAGGGGCAGGGTTCTGGCTTCCTTTCCCTTCGGCACAGGGGTCCTGTCCCTCACTCAGCATCACACTGGAGAGGGGCTGCTGGAAACACCAGTCAGTCCTTGGGGCTCCCCAAACCCTCTGCCCCAGGCAGTGGTTGCCATTCTGTCACCTCTCACAGGCTGTGCAGACCTGGTTTGGGACTTTCTCTCTCTGTATTTGAGACTCTGAGCTCTGCCCCTGGCAGCTGCCCCCACAGCTCACAGGTTGCCCCATGTTCCAAAGAACAGGAAATGTTCCTTTGGCCTCCTCAGCTTCTCCCCAGAGGTCTCCAGGCAGCAGTGAAGACAGCAGCCCCTCCCCAACCAATGGTCAAGCTCAGCCTCTGGAACCACAGCATCTGGGTCTGACCCAGGTGTGACCACTTCCAGGCTGAGCACAGGCTGAGCGATCCCAGACAGTTCAGCCAACCTCTCTCTGCCTCCATTTTCTCATCTGCAAAGTGGGAACGGTGAAGGTGCCCCTTTTGGGGTCTGCAGACTAAAGGTGATAAGGAATGGGGATGTCTTCAACTTGAATGTAAAGGAAATGAATTAAGGACGGTCTCGCTATACCAGGAGCGGGGGTGATTCCTGGAGCTGCTGTCCCCACCTCCCTGGAGAGGCTACACTCGTGCCCGCCTGTGCTGGTTCCAAGCAGCCCAGTGCTCTCACCTGGCTCGAGGTGGAGGCCCTCAGGCCCCCCTTCCAGGTTCTCCCGTTCTTGCTCCAGCTTCTGTGAGGAAAAAGAGACCATGACAGGGACACTGGCTCCAGGCAAAGGCCCTGTGTGCTCCAGGAATGACTAAGAGGCTTTCTGAGTGAACAGAACTGTACGTCAGGAGTAACCCAGCCCGTCCAGGGCCAGAAGGTGGGAGGTGAGCCCCTCCAAGGATCTCCTCTGTGAGCCTGACTTCCAGCAAATGCTCCATCTGCAGGTCTAAGGATGGATGCTGTGAGTGGCCCCTTCAGGCAGATTTCTGAAGAGCAACCCCCGGAGACACCTGGTGAGCCCTCCAGGCTTCCCAGCCAGTGCATGCCTGGATCACCCCCACCTGGACCCCGAGCTGAGCAGCTAGCTGCTGGATGGCTGCAGTGGGCCAGGATGCAGGGTGCAGAGTGCAGGGCTGGCAAAAGGCAGGCAGCAGGTCCCTCAGGCAAGCAGGAGGGTACAATGCAGGCAGGGGGTACAGAGGAGCCCCCGGCACCAAGGCCCCCTGGACCCTGTGTTCAGTGGCCCAGGAGGACAGGCAGGCAGATCATGGGCCACCCAGTCTGAGGATAGGTCCACTGCACCACCAGCCCTGGGCCCAGCCCTTGGGACCCTGCATTCTGCCCCTGCAGGGCTGTCTCGGGGTCCCTTCAATGCTGCAGCCTGGAGTTGTTAAAAACGGGAGCATCCCGGGCTCTGCCTTACCTGTCTCAAGAGCTTCAGCGTCAGTCGGGTCACTTGCTCTGCTGCTGCTGAGTCCAGCATACTGGGAGCTACAGGAGATGACAGTAGTGGGCAGGGGAGGCCGCAGCCCACCTCCCTCCCTGGTTCTGTTACTTGCAGGAGAGGACTGCTCGGCAGGAGCCGAAGCACCAGTGTCACCTGCAGGGCTGGCCTAACCTCCTGGAAACCAGCCCCAGGGGAGAGAAGAGCCACACTCTCCCTGGACTGCAGCGCCCCACAAGCCAGCACAGGACGCCACATGGCAGTTGCCAGGCTGCCAGACGCAGGGAGGCCCCAGGTTGCCAGGTTTCCACTTCGCGTCCTTAGGCTGCTACCTGTAAACACTCATCCCCAGGTGTGGCCGGCTGGGCTTCATGGGAAGGCAAAAAAGTGGGCAGCAGCTGAGGCAGAGGGGCAGAGCTCCCAGACCTGGGGGAAGGGGACAGCCGTGACCCCCATGCACCACCAGCCTCAGGACCCAGCCCAGAAGAACCTGTGTTGGGGGAGAGCGCCCCATCTCTGTGCACTGCCTCCAGGACATGGCGGCTCCTCCCCTCTTAGGGACCCTCAGAGCTAGGAGGGAGGGCAGTTCCTCAACTGGGAGGACAGGGTGGGGAGACTGTCTACCAAGTTGTTCAGGAAATTCCAGGTGCAAAAGTTGGGGGACAGAGAAGGGATCGTGACCTGCAGAGGGACTGAGCTTCAGCAGGACCAGGCAAGGAGCCAGGTGTGCAGAAAGCTTCACAGAGGGCAGACACAAGTCAGGAGCGTGGTCTGCACTTGGCTAAGCATTCAACTCCACATTGATGAGTTAGTCAATCCCACTATGCAAGCAGACGGACATCTGGGGGGTGTCAGCCGCAGGGGGCCAGACCTGTGGACCCGAGGGGCAGAGGTTAGTACCCTCCTCAGTGCAGCTGACCCAGAAACTTGCCTCGGTGGCCAAAATTGCCCTCAGTTTTGTAAATGGCCATGTCCATCAGTATCTATGCTTGTATGCCTGTCCTGTCTCCCAACCCACATCCAGGTGGGGAGCCTGGAGCTGGACCAGTGAGTGACAGGGTGAAGGCCAGCCAGCGCATAGGAGGTCATGCTCACAGAGGCAGCTCATGGAGGAGATCCTCAGAGGGACTCACCTCGACCTGTTGGCCCTGGAGAGGCTAGGTTACCCTGTTATAGAGTTCTATTCACCTTACCCTGGAGGCCATCTAACCAGAAATGAAGGCAGCATGAAACCAGGCCATACCCTCCCTCCATGCCTGAGGAGGCTATGGGCTGGGATCACATGCCCTGCTGGTGCCCACACATTTCCAGTTGGCAGTCAGGGGTCCTCAAGGGTGCTGCTGCACGTGAGCAGACTGGCCCCATGTTTAAGATCACGACTGTAATATCAGTGCTTTGGGAGGACAAGGCAAAAGGATCACTTAAGCCCACGAGTTCGAGACCAGCCTACACAACATAGCAAGACCCCCATCTCTACAAAAAATAATAAAAAAAAAAGAACCCAGCTCTTGTCCATGGTCATTAATGGTGACAGTCTGGGGAGACATTTAAACAGCTCTGAGTGTATACAGAACAAAAACCAGGTTAATTTAGTTAAGTAACTGTATAGCGCACCCTTGATATAAGTGATCCCATCTGAGAAAAAGACTCCATCTTACTTTTTTTTTGAGATGGAGTTTCACTCTTGGTGCCCAGGCTGGTGTGCAGTGGTGGTGCGATCTGAGCTCACTGCAACCTCTGCCTCCTGGGTTCAAGCAATTCTCCAGCCTCAGTCTCCCAAGTAGCTGGGACTACAGGCTTGCAGGACCATGCCCAGCTAATTTTTGTATTTTTGATAGAGACAGGGTTTCACCACATTGCCCAGGCTGGCCTTGAACTCCTGACCTCAAGTGATCCACCACCTCAGCCTCCCAAAGTGCTGGGATTACAGGCGTGAACCATTGCACCTGGCCCGATACCTTTTAAAATGTTAAGACAGGCCAGGTGTGGTGGCTCATGCCTGTAATCCCAGCACTTTGGGAGGCTGAGGCAGGCAGATCACTTGAGGTCAGGCATTCGAGACCAATTGGGCAATGTGGCAAAACCCCGGTCTCCACAAAATATACAAAAATTAGCCAGACGTGGTGGTGGGCACCTGTAGTCCCAGCTACTTGGGAGGCTGAGGCAGGAGAATCGCTTGAACCCAAAAGGTGGAGGCTGCAGTTGAGTAGAGATTGCAGCACTGCACTGCAGCCTGGGCCACAGTGAGACTCTTATAAAAAAAAAAAAAAAAAAAAAGGCTGGGCATGGTGGCTCACGCCTGTAATCCAAGCACTTTGGAGGCCAAGGTGGGTGGATCACCTGAGGTCGGGAGTTCAAGACCAGCCTGACCAACATGGTGAAACCCCGTCTTTAAAAAAAAAAAAAAAAGCATCAGGCCAACAGGGACTGCACCCATCCAGATTAGGACATAAACAAGCACACTCTTACTATCAGTCCTCACCAGAGTACTCTATGGCCATGCAGAGCAAAACTCCACCAGGTCAAAGCAGCTGTACAGACACAGTCTTGCTGTCGCTAGTGGGAAGCCCTCGGTACCTGCTGCTGAAGGCTCTGCCCACATCAGACACTTCCATGCAAGACAGATTCTCCTTTTCCTTGGACTGGTTAACTTTTCTTCCTCTCCCTTCTCTTGTGAAATGTTACTTTGTTTGATGTGGAATGCCTATGACATTCATGTCTTGATCAAGTATACTATTACATATGGTTTGAAATAGTAACTTAAGGAGTGAGTGTGCCTGTGCGTCTGCAGCTCTGACTACCAAGTGACTGGGAAGCCTAAGAACTGCCTCCTCGGGATCTCTATAACACGCTCCACAGGGCACAGATTTGTCAGGTTTTTTAATAGGCCTTTTAAGAACAGTTTTAAATTTACAGAACTGAGAAGACAGTACATGGAGAGGGATCCCACATACTACACGTGGCTTCCCCTCTTCTTTCTTTTTGAGACGTAGTTTTGCTCGTTGCCCAGGCTGGAGTGCAGCGGTGCGATCTTGGCTCACTGCAACTTCTGCCTCCCAGGTTCAAGCGATTTTCCTGCCTCAGCCTCCTTAGTAGCTGGGATTACAGGCGCATGCCACCACGCCCAGCTCATTTTTGTATTTTTAGTAGAGACGGGGTTTCACCACATTTGTCAGGCTGGTCTCGAATTCCTGACTTCGTGATCTGCCCACCTTGGCCTCTCAGTGTTGGGATTACAGGTGTGAGCCACTGGCTTCCCATCTTATTAAAACCTTACCTTATTATGCTACATTTGTTATAATCTTTTTTTTTTTTTAAGATGGGGAGTCTTGCTGCAATGCCCAGGCTAGAACGCAATGGTGCAATCTCAGCTCACTGCAACCTTCACTTCCAGGGTTCAAGCAATTCTCCTGCCTCAGCTTCCCAAGTAGCTGGAACTACAGGTGCGTCACATCCGGCTAATTTTTGAGTGTGACCTACTATGCCTGGTCCATTTGTTACAATTAATGAACCAATACTGAGACGAAATTAACTGAAGCCCACACTTTGCTAATTTCCTTGGGTTTGACTCATGTCCCTAAGGCGGTACCCGGTACCCATCAGAACACTGTATTACGTTTAGTTCTCTCTTCAGGCTCCTTCCCAGACTCTTCACTTTTGATGACCTTCACAGGTTTGAAGAGTACAGGGCAGGTGTTTTGAAGAATGTCCCGCAATTGAAATTTGTCTGTTTTCTCCTGGCTAGGCTGGGACTGCAGGCTATAGAAACGAAGCCTCTAGGGGGAGAAGGGCCACTGTCATTCCATCACAGCAGACGGTCACCTCAACTGTAACTCTGTGAGGCTGACCCGAGTCACCTGGCAGAGGTGGAGTCTGTCACAGTTTCTCCACAACAAAGTGACTATTTCCTTTTCTTTACTGCACTCTTTGGGAGGAAGGGGCTATGCGTAGTCTACGCTTAAGGGGCGGGGAGTTATGGTCCCTTCCTTCAGGGTATCTAAATTTATTTGGGCAGCTTTTGTTTTTTCTTGAGTCAGGGTCTCAGTCTGTCACCCAGGCTGGAGTGCAGTGGTTGCCTGGCCTTGACAGCTTTTTAATAGTTTAAAATGAATTGAGGCTGGGCGAGGTTGCTCACGCCTGTAACTCCCGAACTTTGGGAGGCCAAGGAGGGCGGATCACTTGAGCCCAGGAGTTCAAGACTAGCCTGGGCAACAGGGGGAGACTCTGTGTCTACTAAAAACATAAAAATTATCCGAGCATGGTAGGGTGTGCCTGTAATTCCAGCTGTCAGGAGGCTGACATGGAGAATGACCTGAGACCAGGGAGGTTGAGGCTGCACTTCAGCCTGTATGACAAACTGAGACCCTGTCTATAAAAAGAAAACCAACGAAATAAAACCCAAGTCCAACATTTGCAGAACTTCTCTAGACTGTCCACAGAAACCACTCTGCGGTTCTGAGGAACACAGTCCAGGCGAACTGGGCACATCCCCTCCGCCCCACAGTTCTAAATGTATTTTAACACGTAACAATTGTGAGATCCAGGCTCAATCTGGGTGTTTCTGGAAAGGGTGAGCCTGCAGGCACAGCCCCTGCTCACTTGGCTGTGTTGCCTGCCTGACTGCTGCTCTCAGGAGCCCGCTGCCCGGAGTTTGCTCAAGCCATCCAATTCCGAGTCTGGGAACCAGGAGACTGCTGGACACCAGGAGACAGCCTCCTGACAGCTGGAATTACAGGCACACCCTACCATGCTCGGATAATTTTTATATTTTTAGTAGACACAGAAGGCTGTGGCCTGAGGCAGGAGGAGCAAGTTTCTGGCGGTCGAGTTTCCAGGGCTTCCTGAAGGACATTTAAGTTGTAGTTGCTGAGAATCACAAATTCTTGTGGAGGCTGCACGGTGAGCCTGGGTCGGCGCAGAGCCACGCCGGCACGCTCGGGGCAGGGCCGTGACTGCCCCCAACACGAGCACGCGCCCCCCACCACCTAGGGTTTGCAAGTGAGGGCGCACCAACAAGCGGCGGGACGAGAGAGAAACCCAGAAACCAGCCTTGGACACAGGAAAGAAGGCGATTCCCTTTAGAACACGCCCCAGGAAACCACAGGACCCGGCGGGTCACCCACCGCGTCAGGGTTTTCTGCCACTTCGCTCCAGTTAGTTTCCTGAGTCCCGCCCACGCGCGCGGGCTGCTGAGAAAACGCCCACCCCGACGGCTCCGCCGCAGGTCACAGGCCGTGCGGACCCGGGACTGTGTCCGGGCTTCGGTCACTTCAGCAGTCTCCTCCAGAGTCGGCGGCCCACAGCCAACGACGAACTCCTGAGCTGAGGAAAACGGCCTGGTCCTGTCCCAGTGGCAGCTGCACGCGGGGCGGCCCGCGGGCCACCAAGCTGAGTCTTCGTAGCGCGAGACCAGCAGCGCAAATAGGGGCTCGGCCGGCTTTTAAAACCGGCCAATCACAGCGGGCGTCAGGCCTCCGCGCTCCGCTTACTGGTCCTGCCGGAGGAGGCGGGTACGTGAGCGCACCAATCTGTGGCCGATGAGCATGTAGGGCGGCGCTCTGCCCAGGTTGCACGGCCCTGAGGGCGCGTGCGCGAAACCGGGAACGCGGGCCCTCTGATTGGCGGCGCGCGGCGGGGGCGGGAACGCGGCTGCGTGACACTTGTCGCGGGGGAGGGCGAGCCCCGGTGCGGGGGAGGGAGTGTAAATAGAGCGAAGGCGACTCGCTGTCAGCCCCGCCACCACCGGGCGTTCCGCGCGGAGTCTGAGGGAGATGGAAGCTCAGCAAGAGCAACGGCGCAGAAAGGTGGAGGCCGGGAGGGCGAAGGTAAACATCAGGGCCTTCTTCTCTTGCTGCTCCGGCGTGAAGTCTTAAGGGCGGCTCCAATGCCAGCCACCGTCCCTTGTCTTCAGCGGACGCGGCCGGCGGAAGCTGCCGTCGAGGTCTCCCTTTTCCAGCCGGCTCCGCTAGAAGCCGGCTCCGCTAGAAGCCGCCTCCTGGCCGCCGCCATCTTGAATCCGCCGCTCTCCGCCAGGGCCCGCCCCCGCCGCGGCCATAGCCATTCAGCGGCCGGGACGCGCGGCGCCTCTCGGGCGGGCCGGGGCGGGGCTGTGCCTCCTCCGGCGACGGGCCGGGCGCGGAGCACGCCGGGAGGGGCGGGGCTACAGAGCAGGGCGTGGCGAGGGGGTGTGGCTGCGAAGAGGAGGTGTGGTGGGTGCTGGGCCCCAGGCTGGAGCCTCTAACGACCCCTGCGTGGTCCGGACCCAGGTGGCTTGGGGTGGGCGGCGGGTATTCTGGGGGCTGTGCTGTCTCGGGCCAGTTTCCTGCGCGGCCGGGGGCGTGGCGCGGGCAGTCTCAGCGCCTCCTTATGGCGCGCTTCCGCTCCGTCCGTCGGAGACGCTTTCCCACGCGCGTTTCCCGCGGCGTCGCAGCCCCTCCTGGGTGAAAGGCCCCCGTGGCGCTCCTGGCGCCGTTGGGCGCGCGTCCTGCCCGTCCGGGTGCTGCCGAGAAGCCAGCGGTGCTGGCGCCGGGTTTCTCCGAGGGACGCGTTCCCGTCTTTATCCCGCCTTGGGTTTCGTCGTGTTAAGGCGCTCTGTTTAATGGCCACCGTCCTGGGTTTCTTGTGGGGAATAAAGCGCGCAGAGCCCTTGATTCGGGGGCACTGGAACTGGGGTCCCCAGAGCACGAGGCGGAAC